AAACCAAATAAATATAAGTCACGCCAAAATATGAATAAAGCTAATTGTTCAAATTACTGTTTGACATCGAAATTGTGAAAAGTTTAGCAGTATGCACGTGTACAGATGCAGCGAAATGACCATGGATACATTGTGCAAACCCATGTTTCCGACTTCTCTATTCAAATTTGTGACGGGAAAACATTGCTTCCAAAAGTTTAGCTGCCTAGATGAATGATTCCAGTGTGAAAAGATCAGTGCTCTGTCGTTGTGGCCTCGTAGCTGCTCAGCTGGAAGGGAGCGTGCGCTGTACAAAAGCGCAGGCGGAGTCCATGCGTGGGTTCGAAGCTCCTGCCCCGAGGATACACTGTACGTTTCACAATTTCAATAAAGCTAATTGTAGGGAATATCGGTCAGGCACAGAAACAGCGGACTCGGGAACATATCAAAGAATCATGAACCTGCAGAGGTAGAATCCACGATAGTAAATGAGAGTTTGTGCTGTATGTTGCACACGGATACTCTCCAGCATTACCCGAGTGTGTTGGCGATCTTGATTGTAGACTGAACGTCTATGAGCTACGCATGCCCGTAATTCGCCCTGAGCCTAATGCTTTAATATAAGAAGCGTTTGGTACAGTGGGATTCGCTGAGCGCATTCGTCCAATGCAGTCAATTCCTAAATGACCGCCAATCTGGAATCCAATTTCGTCGTTCCCTTCATCCGAACTTGTCAGCGAAAAACATCAAACAAGTGCGAAAACAACCAACAATATGTCTTAGTGGGCAGGGTAAATATGTATGGATTGTTAGAATGGAACTTCCGAATGGTAAGCAAATGAAAGCGTCTACCAGAGGCAATCAGAATGCCTACTACACAATCGACTAGGCCAAACTGATTGGATGTTTATTGAGCCTGCCAATGGTAACGGCCCAACCGAACACAAAGTCAAACAAGACCACAATTCTACTGGCCCGTCGATTTGTTAACTTCTTATTGGTCGACTATCTCTTGTTCCGATGTTTTCAAAAAACAAGTTCATCATTGTGTTCCTGTTGTGATCTATTCACGGGTGAAAGTGAGGGAGGAGCAGGTGGGTGCTCAATCAGATAGAGACATCAACAACATAACACGGACCATTATGGTGCAAACCTCCAAGAGATTGCAAATCAATTTCACCTGTGACCCATATATTAGCAAAGAGTCTTTTTCTGAGACCACATCTTTATATTATGAACAACCCACAGGGTACATCCCGTAGTCACAAGGACGTGCCGTTCGGTCATGAGGACCGGAAAACTAGGCTGAACATCCGGAATTGGAGAGGTGAACCACATAAGGCCCCGCCGCTAGGTAAGGTGTGCTATTGAGCCAGACGATAGCAAAGCTCCGTACCACCAAAGTTGGCTGGC